TAATCTTTTCCTGCTGAATCAATAAATCAAATCAAATCAAATCAAGGCCTAAGTGTGTGTGTGTGTGTGGGGGGGGGGGGGAAAAGAGGTTTGATTTCTTTTGTTCTGTCCTTCTCAACAGTTTGTTGAGAAGTTGGGAACAATAATAGATAATCAATCAATCAAATCAATCAAACAAATTTATTTCTAAGATGATGACCATACAAAGAGATAGCTATACTTAAACATATTAAACATATTAAATACAAAATCTTAACATGCTCGAAATGGAGTAGGAAGAAGTAAAAAACGTATAAACTCCTACCCCGTACTATTTACAAATAATACATAATAATAAACCTCAGGCTGACTTAATAAATCGTTAAATTACAATGTAAATTTATATTTACCCTTGTACAACTCTTTGTGTTACAATCACTCCTCATATCTACATAATAATAATAGATAATAGTGTTTAAAACATGTTAGGTAATAAAAGTCTTCTGCTAAACAAAAGTAACAATTATTGAGAGGTGAATGAAAGTGATAAAAATATTCTAAAGGTTCTTTTTGTGGGTTTGCAGGGGCACTGTTAGTGGGTAATGTGTCCAGCAGGRGGCGCTGTTTGTCCAGCTCCCTGTCAGTGAGCCTGAGCAGAAACAGATGAACACACCTGATTGTCTGAGCTCACCTTGAAGAAGTAGTGAAAGATCTGCTCTCCCATCCCGTACTGCAGTCCTGACGCCACCACGTAYGTGGACAGCAGGGCTCGGTTCTGAAAGCAGAACCCGGAAAGCTCCTCGCGGTCAAACACACAACCTGCCGCTCAGAAATAACCACAGCTGGRAAATAAACGCACAGTTTTGCCCAGCTTCACCACGGTCCTCTCCAGCTCCATGTGCCGCAGGAAGCTGGGATGAGCTCTTCTGCTCCAGAAGATCTCGTCGGTGAACGGGAGCTCCGGCTCGTCCTGTTTCCAAACAAAAAYGACCGTTCTGCAGCCGGAACACAACGTTTCAACGTGTCRGGAGGAACAGAACGCTTACGGACYGGATCTAAAGGTTTGCTGGAGGCCCAGGTCATCACTGTCGAAACCAGGATGAAGAGCTTCGGTCCAGAAAAACCGCTTATTTGATTGTGGAGCTCTGTGAAGAAAACACAACACATTGTTTCACATTGTTTTATGCATCAGAACCGGCACCAGAACCAGACCTGGACTTTCATTTTCTGCTCGGAAATTTAAAAAAATATAATCAAAACTCAGTAGTTTAGCTCCAACATGTCTGCTTCAAATATTATCAGAAGATTTGATTTTTTTTTTATTCCCCAGAGAGCAAAGTGAACAGCAGATATTCAGGAGTGTTTTTGTGTTGTTACTAAAAACCTGTTTGAGTGTGAGAGGTCACCTGTAACCGCCCAGGTAGCTTCCTCCACCTGCTCAGGATCCTGGCTGATGTTGTAGATCACAACACGACACTCCAGCAGCCGAGACAGCAGCTCCTCTCTGTCAGGAAGCTTCAGAAACACACAATAATAAACCAGAGTTGTAACTAAGTACAAATACTTTGTCAGTGTACTTAAGATTTTTTGGGCATCTATATTTTACTTGAGTAATTATTTTTCAGTCTACTTTTTACTTCTACTTCTTACATTTTTTTAAAAGACAAGAAGTAGAAAGTCGTTACTTTTGTTTCATTTTTGCTTGTTATTATAAAAAATAAATATTATCCATAC